CACACACACACACACACACACACACACACACACACACACACACACACACACACACACACACACACACACCCCAAACGTGAAGGAAAACTTATCACTGTCATTTGAATCATTATTGATCATTAATACAATTGTATCAAATGTGTCAAATGCAAATTTTAGAAAACATTTCTACATAGTGCACTGACTAGATCTACATGTATTACAGAGGGTGATCGGGCGTTCCAGATAGCGAGTGTTGTCGGTGTGAATGCCAAGTGTGTTATAGGAACTGTGAAATCTGTCTGTCTGTCTGTCTGTCTGTCTGTCTGTCTGTCTGTCTGTCTGTCTGATTGGGGAATGTCGGGAGGATGTTTTATGGGTGATAAGGGTGATTTCACCAAACCTCGTGTTCCCTATATAATGTATTGCAGGTATTGGGAATTCTATAATATATTGACGAATGAAATTAGTTTGATATCATCACGAATGTTTTTGACGTCTTTTCATTAAACTAAAATGACTGTTATCAGCAATATTTGTGAAGCCCCAACCTTCACCACCCTCTTCCCACCCCACCCCACAAATTAATGGGGTTTTTTTAAGATTAAAAGAATTTAAAAAATATCGAGGAACCCTGTCAATGTGACAGTACAATCGAAATTGTCTGAGACCGCCACCTAATTTCGAGGAGAAAAGTGGTTGTGTAAGACAGGTGGACATCTTACACAGTGTAATTATAATGTTAAAAAAGTATGCAAGGGGAGAAATGGGAAGTGGCGGCTGCTTGTATAGGCCATCAGTGCAGGCTCATCTGTACTTTTCAACTCACAATCTTCAAGAAGCAGACGATCTCGCGAAGAGCCCCGGTACATCCCAGAAAGCCCATGACAAACACGATAGAGCCGGCCAGGCACATGTCACAGGCCGGGTCCAGGAAGAAGTCGAGGACGTCATGGACCTGTTTGTCCTTGATGGACAGGATGTAGGCGCCTAAACCTGTCATGACAAGGCCAACAACCTGGGGAAAAGGCAAAGAGGTTATACACGTATTTAGTAGGCCTACAAGAGTTTATGGCAGTGATGTCCCCCACGGCCTGAATGTGCCCACTTTGGGACGCTAAACCTCAAGTCTCAAAAGCAAAGACATGCACAGTTCAGGAGACGGATGAGTACTTTTCTAGACTCACGTGGCGGCGTCTCAGTCGGTCTAAGGAGGAAATCTAGAAGCTTTCTCTGAAATATCATAGAGACAGGGTGGTGTTTAATATACTAGAGCTCGTGGGGAGCCGGGAGGGGGCTCCGATTGTTCTTGTAAATGGGGGCACGCCAGCCATGCCGATGAGGGCAAGAATTGCAAAAGAATCAAAGAGTGGATGGAACAGTTCGTTATTGACCAGGGCCACAAACTGTACATTGTCTATCCCAATGCACGCATAGATTCATAGAAATATATTTACAGTCACACTAACCATTTTACAAGATCACTTTAGATACACAAGAAAAACCCGCTGATATGAGAAATAGCATTCATGGCGTATTTTTCCATGCCCCCGTCGACATAAGTTAGACCATGTGGGAGGCAGGATTTGTCTCTGCCTGTCAGGGCCAACCCAGCCAGAGAGAACATTATATTATAGTCAAGCAGAAAGACCGAAATACTCGAAAAAATTCTCATAAACGCTAATTGCTACCCCACAGATGGCGATCGGCGTATTGTAAATAATGTTTATTCGTTTTTGTAAGAGTTTTACGGCACTTGCAACACAATTAGGTCATATATAAGTGCTACAGAAAAGAGATGTTAAACGAGTATAACAAGAACATTACAAAAACAATTGAAGGAAGAGAGATGCTAGTCGTCTGTTAGGAAATAAGGAGCAAACCAAACCCGAGCATCCACCAACCACCCACGTATTGCAAAGAAGAGAACAGAAAAAAAGGTGAAATGGTATAAGTTTTAGTAGAGGTTTTACGGCGCTCGCAACTGTATAAGGTCATATGAGCGCCAATGGGTGGATGTCAACAGAAAAGTCCTTGCAGGGAATCAGACTACTCTGCTCACCTCTCTAGCTTCAACAGCACAAAGTCTGCTTCGACTATCAAGGCACTCCGGGAATAGCGGGTCACAAGAGTGTGACAAACACACAAAAGAAGTAGAGGAAAATGACGATAGTAAGGATTGGGAAAGAAAAAAGCTGCAGTTCCCTGTTGTAGATCAGGCACAGTTATGAGCGTGACATTGATGAATCAGCCCATTTACAATTCTACTGTGCATGAACGAGAAATTTCCCC